GGTATGTCTGCAAAGCCCGTAGCACATCGTTTGCGCGGCAATCCCCTAGCTGGTCGTTGTCTTTCCAGATACGCGACGAGTGGTAGGGGTGTGACACTTCTCGTATGTTGCCCAAGTCGCCGATTGCCCAGTGGGACTCGTCTTGAACAAAGATGTTCGCTGGCTTGATATCATCGTGACAGTAGCCTGCACGGTGTAAAGTACCCAGATTCTCAAGTAGTTGGTTGAAGGCTGGCCGATAGCGTCCATCAACCTGACTATAAGCCATAGGCGTTTCTTCCGACGACAGTTTGTTGGCAAGTGAACGAAGATTTCCGCCTTTGAGCAGAGGGGTGACGAGGTGCCACTCGGCCGGTTCGCCAGGCGTTGTAGAAGCCATGAAATGTGCTCTCACGGGAAGGAAGCCGTTCTTCGTCGCGTTCGCATCGTCGGCAGCGGAACCCCCAAATTGTAGTGATGCGGGTATTTCCGTTGGCCATTTGGACGCATCTGGCGCGCAATTTCGGAATGGACTCCGCCCTGGTGTGAACGTCTTGATAACCGAGTCTCCGTAGGCGAACACCTTGCCCTCCCAGCCCTCGCCAAGCACTTTCCAAGACGCCCGGTTTGCTATTAGCTCTTCTTCCAACTTCGAACTTTCGTCATCGGGTTGCCAAGATCGAGCCTGTAGGTCTCCTTCGTTGTGGGAGTTGAAGTTGGTCGCAGAGTACTTTTCCAAGAGTGCTTGTCGACTAGTGAGGTACAGATGTTGTTGCTGGAATAGGGCAAGTATGAAGAATACAACAGCGACCCGGTAACGCAGATAGTATAGAGTCCGCGCGCTGTGTGGAACTGAGTTTAGGAGAAGGCGACCCATGGGTGCTGGTATAAGTCTCCGACAGAGAGATGAGAAGGAGAAGGAGTATGGCGCTCACTAAGCTTCGGAACTCATACTAAGAGAGTGCGCCTGCCGTGACTCTTGTAGAGCCGCAAGTGGCATCCCTCCAAGATTCATGGAAAGTGCTACGCGCCAGCGCATTGGAACGGTGAGCGAGTGCACTGCAACGACTCAAGCTCCGAGTGGCTCTCGCGGAGCCAAACGGCATCTCGGAACCAGCTGCCAGGCGCAAAGCTCTATTCTTGTTCTCCCTACTGCGCCCCTATGACGTTCAACTCCAAAGTCTTGGCCTATGAATGGCCAAGATGTGGCTTTTGAAGCGAGGAAGCAGGAAGTCGGGTAATATCATTCGGATGTCGGCTAGCAAAGTTAATCTTGAAGTCCCCAAGGCTGTGGCGTCACAACGCAGTGACTTCCCGCATAGTCTTTATTGGCTAGCCGTAGTGGCAAGAACGGCTGTGTCCAGTAGTGTCCATGTGGGTCGGTAGGCACATAGCCTGTGCTTAACTCCGATATTGGATCTATGCAACGAGATGTTGTTCTCAGCACTACCATAGCCACGCCCCGGTCGTGCTCTAAGCCGCACAGCCGTAACCCTAAAACCCTACCGTATCTGGCTCACTATCGATGGGTGCGAAAGACCACAAGCTCGCGCGATTGGGCAGGCAAGTATCCCGAAGCAAGTTACTGGTGTTGTTGGTAAAAATGTGGGGTGACGTCAAGGATGCGCTGTCTCCAGCCAGGTAGCGTCAGGCACGAGGTTAGCGTGGCGCATGGATCAACAGATCTCTATCACCACTGAACCGGCTTCCAGGCTTTGCCGTGACATCCTGAATCCTTGCATCCTTCCGCACCTGCACCATGAGTTCCGAAACCCAGTTTGCTGAAAACAGGACCCGCTTGGTCTCCCACTTTGATGGCTACAGGTAAGGAGCGCCACGTGCCGCCACTTCCGTAGCCACAACTAACGGTTCCAGCACCCGGGATGCACAGAGCGACGGGTGGGCCAAACTGTGGGAACAGAAGGAACAGGATCTGTGGGATCGGGGCCAAGCTTCGCCTGCTCTGACTATGTTCCTTGAAGAACACCCTTATCGCGAGACGCTGTTCCGAGACCAGAGTCAACGGCAGTTGAAGGCATTTGTGCCTGTAGGTGTCTCGTAACGAGCGTACTTGACAAGAGGCTCATCGTGCATTAGGGCTGCGGTAAGGGGCATGATGTGGCGCTATTAGCACGTCATGGCTTCAGGACATGGGGTCTAGAAATTTCCCAAGGAGCAGTGGATACCGCCAACGAGAACGTCAAATCTCATCTAGATCCTTCAGCTGGCCATGTCGCTGACGTCGTGCTCGGCGATTTCTTCCAAAAGGGATTCGAGGCTCATTTCGGACCTGATTTCCAGGGTTTCGATCTAATCTACGACTATACAGTACGTTCGGCATGCAAAGAGTCCCGACCGACATGCTCCTAACGAGTGCTAATAACGTCGATCAAGTTTCTGTGTGCCCTGCTTCCTGAGATGCGAAGAGATTGGGCCGATCGCATGAAGAGCCTTTTGTCGCCAACTGGTGTTCTCGTGTGCCTCGAATTTCCAATGTGGAAGCCTCTGAAAGCTCAAGGTCCGCCATGGGGTCTGAACGGTGTACACTGGAACCTTCTAGCCGATGGTGCTGATGGCCTGTTCGACGACTCCGGCAATCTTCTCGGAACAGGAAAGGAGCAGGGCTCGTTCGAAAGGGTTGTGTATTGGAAGCCCCCAGTCTCTTTCAAACAAAGTCGCGGCGACGACATGATTAGCGTCTGGAAGTTGAAGCAATAGACGGCGAGGAAACTCAGACATGTATCGTTGCCCTATCCGCATGGTCTGCGGCAGGTTGGAAGACAACGGAGCACTTCAGTTGGTAAACGATGGTAGCACAATGATTGATCGGGGCTCGTTCGCATTGTATAAACGCTAAATTGTAACAGTATACTGGAAAACAACCACCTCACATCCCGTCAGTCAGCATAGCCTCAATCAACTGCACATGCCGGTTTGCATTCGTCTCGCTCCACTCAGTATCATAGTTCAGGCCTGAATTATCGACGTGGCAAGTCAGTCTATGTTTCACGTACAGTTGGAACATCGCGTTTTTGTCATACCGTATGGCCAGAAGTGTCCACCACCGCAAGTAATCTTCGCATTTGCTCCATCGAAGCTCCTGATCAGGGATAGTGCCGTGCGCCAGTCGCCTGCAGCACACTTTCTGTCAAAAGCCGCTGTCTGGCCGACTCCTAGCGTGTGGCTTATCTCATGCATCGCAGTCCTTTCCGTCATGTAAGCGCGGTTGGAGCCGAATCGTAGATCGCCGTTGTAGTTCGCCTCGGCAGTAGGGACACCCGGGGCGTAGGCCACACGAATCGTCTTGTTTGCGTCGGAGTACTTCTCATAGCGAGCGACGGCCTTTGTCATTGCAGCTTCGATCTTAATGTATGCGTCTCTTTGGTCGGCGGTGGGGTTGGACGCTTTTGCCAAGGACCAGGACAGGCGTGCGGAGGCGGTGCAGGCATACGCCGCGACGAGGAGAAGAGAGAACTGCATGATCGTGGGTGTAGTTTCTTGGGTTGGATCAAGAGCTGTGGTTGTCGGCGCTGTTCAGGGCTTACAGCGATGAGGGCTGCTGCGGCATACCCAATGATATACCACGTGGTCTTTCATGGTAAATCTCCACCGCTGATTACCACGCACACCTTTACTGCTGTAGTGGCTGCAATTAAGGGCGGTCGTTCGGCCTCATTAGGTAGGTGGGTTGATAAGCTGGGATATTGTCCCACGCGTAGGAGAGCATCGTTCAATCCTTTCCACTCGCGATGATTCGTATCCAGCCAGATATGCTACCTTCCTCTGGCGGCTGGGTCACGTTTAATGTACATTGTCTTGGTGTTGCGGCGTACAAGGGCTGAAACGTTCAAGCGTCGGAGAATTGATTGCATGTAGATAATGTCCCCGCACTCCGGAAGATTTCCACATCGGCAATGAGTGCGCCTCCCGCCTCTCATACAGCCGCCATTGAGTGCCGATCTCTAGTCGAATGTCTTCCTGCCGCTACCTTCTCTCTACTAGCGGCTGGAGTCGTATCATATATACCACACGTGTCAGCCTAGTACTACCTAGGTAATCTCAACGCACTACATCTGCCATACTGGCCATGTGAACTGCGTGCTAATGTGTGGAAGACAGTCTCATTCCGAACTGGTTGTGGCTTTAATTGCTCTTGGGTGTATTCATTGGCGAATAGAGGTGGTAATCGGAGAGACTGAACCTATCGCTTGATGGAAGAGACATGTAGAGCGGACACACATCTGGTGTTAGGCGTAACAAGCCCAGCCTTGCCCGAATTCGGCGAACGCCTTGTCCGACCCACACAGCTAATCAGGATGCATGGGAGTGGGACCAAACTCTGGAAAGTTGACCTTTTCTCCTATCCAGACGACCCAACTACTCGTCACTGTTTGAACAATTGCAATATATTCAATCAATTTGCCCAGCTTTCCATCAAGCAGCCAAGTTCTCTGGTCTCCGCCTCCGCATCGGTGGTTTAGTGGTAAAATTAGCCGTTGCCATCCTCCGCAGGACAGTTTCGGCTAGCCCCGGGTTCGATTCCCGGCCGATGCACCACACACACATCTTTCTTTTTGCCAATGTACACGTCCTGGCGGCGTTGTGGTGGAAAGAGTATGTTTTTGAGCTGGTGATGAGCACACGTGATTGAAACGTGGCCGTAAGCGAGGCTAGCGCCGGCCCTCCCGCACTAGCAGCGGGATGCGAAGCGTGGCAGACGAGATGACAAGAACTTGGAACCTGTGCAGCTGGAGGTAGTCTTTTTGCGCTTGCATCATTATCTTACTGCATTCGCCTTCCTGTATTATACATTAAGTCATTATCCGTTGATTATCAGATACTGCAATCCGGACGACTGCACAGACTCGCCCTTGCCTCGCACTCGTATTACCCACGACACTTCATCAGATCACACTCAATCCCTCGCATTGCCCGACATGGTAGCAGCGACCGCACCTCCAAAGACTGCAGCCAGCCCAATTCTCCTGTTCTCCCTCTGCCCACTAACCCGCCACCGATGACTAGCCTTGGGCACAACCACCCTCTCCGGCTCCGCAAGTCCCATCTGCCCCGGCGGCGCATTGCTGAGCTGCCCATACTGCACTCCCCTGTCTCCCAACATCTTCAAGCACCTGGTCGAAGTCGCCGTGGTATGCTTTCATCTTGTCGGGCGCGATGATGGGCGCACCGAATGCTTGTGAGATCTCTAGTGGACCTAGAGTGACTTTGCGACCGAGTTGCCAGAAACCCCAGTAGACGGGTAGGACGAGTATGACGGTGATGAAGGTTGCTGCGAGGGCGCCGAAGACGTAGGCGGAGGAGGTGAGGTATTCTTCTACGATGCCGGTGACGGATATGGTAATGTTTTGGCTGGCCATGCCGAGGGCTTTGCGTTCGTCTACATCGGTTGTGGGTGCGCCTTTGATGTACAGAGAGGTTACGAAACTCAAGGTATTGAGTTTGCGCAAGAGCTCGATGGTAGGGTCATCTCGACCAGGTTTCTTAATGTTGTACCAGCAGCGGTCCTCTGCTTCATCTGATTCAGCGTAGAAGATGGATTGAGCTGATGCGCCTCGCGCGACGATGTCCCAAGTGGAACCGTGGCTGATATTTGCGGAGGATTCGTAGAGGTTGTTCATGATGTAGGCCAATGCTCCGACAGTAGAGGTCTCGTTGAAGTACTCGTTGAGCTTGGCGGTATTCAGCACCTTCAAGTCGTCGATTTGGGTGATATCGTTCAGGTTAGTACCGGTACTCCAGAACCGGTCGTCATTGAAGAACTTGACATGTGTAACGATATTTCCGCCGTCTAGTTCTTCTTTACTTGGTACCATGACCGTAACGGGGTACCGAACAACTGCGGGCCTAATATCGCATGTGCGGATATTCATGGTCCCTGGACAGGAATGCTCGTCCTCCCCAGCGTGGCTGTCGACACACCGCATCTCAAGTTCGATACTGGCGTATGTCTTGGTTTCGCTTGCCCATGATGGTCTAAATTTGACATCCCACAACAAATGAGGTGTGCCGAAAGATTCAGATCTCTCCCACTGCCGTAGCCCATAGTCGACATCTTCGTATTCGGTGGTGCAATCGAACGCAAAGCCTAAGCCTTCGATAGAACCACTGCATTCCTGTCTATAGGGACAATCGAAGAAAGATGCCGTGTCATTGAGGGAATCGTGCACCTTGCTATTGGCGAGCTTGCCGTTGTATGCATCCAAGACGCTGGCCCATGCCGCATCCACCGTCTTGATATGACCATCTGCCCCCGGTATCCCGCCAAAATTCGCAGGCCAGTCTCTCTCAACCCATCCAGTCATGGTGGAATTGGCGTACTCCTTTTGCTGAGTTACGATTGTCCTGGTCGCTTTTTGGAAGAGAGTGCTATCGACGACAGCGAATTTGGTCATAAGCGCGGCAAGGGCGACCAGGTTGAAGTACCTGCCGGAGGTAACAATCGCGTAGAAGCTGTAAGAATATGCATGATTCTTATGTAACACGCGGAGAGAGCTACCGCGCAAGGCTGTTCTCCACCACGCGATCGCCAGTCCATGGCTGACCAGAGTGATCAACCCCAGATTCTGGATCTGGTTCGCGATATTCAGAAGGACGTTGGGCTGAGCCGGAAAACTGTTTCATTAGTTCCAAGCTGACTGAAACTGTGTCTGCTAGTCTTACCTCGTAAATGGCCAGTCCTTGACTCGCTTCTTGTGGGAAGAGACCAGAATGATGACAGCCGTAGCAGTTGCCACGAAGATGACCACGAGTCCCGCAAAGCCGATCCATGGAAACTGGTTTTTGAAGCCAGGTCTCCAGTCGATGCCGTCGATATCTGGATCATGTCCGGCATGGTCAAACTTTTCGTTGTAATCCCGCCTCGGTACGTATGGCTCTCTACTCGACTTCTCAACATCACTGGAATGTGTTCTGCATTCCTTAGTAACAGCGTCAATGTTGAATCTGAAGTCTTCTCTCGGTGAGCCTGGAGCGGTTTTCCAGCTATCTCGACCAGTCCCAGGAGAATTAGGAGCGAAAGTCGGGGACTGCCAGGCCGGTCGAATTTCATTGTCCATGATAGCAGTCTGGTGTGGGATTGAAAGATTTGAGATGGTGGAAGGGACAAGATGAAGTAATAGATGCATCTAGAAAGCACGGTAAGTAAGTAACAAGCAAACCTCGTGCAACAAAGGAAGCAGCAAACAAGTTCGCATCGCGTGTTCTCAAACCCGTTATACATATAGATCAAGGTGGCACAGCATGCGAAGCGAGCTGACCCGACTGCGATGGCCATAAGCCGAGAAAGGATTGGCTTCGTTGATTTCGACATGTCCATGGAACGAGTAACCACAACGCAATACTGTAAACGTTCAAAAAGCTGATGTGTCATTTGTCGCATTTTGTTTAAGCGATGTGATTCGAAGTTGTGGTATCTGTATAATCGGGTACAAGCATGGGAATTCCGCGCGTTAGTTGTACCAATAGCGGAAGTCCTCTTCAGTCCTGCATCTGTTCATCGTCTTGCTCCTGTTCCTCTTTGAGATTATCCTTTCCATCTTCTTCCTCCGGAGGCATGGAAACAGGGAACGAAAGATGTTTCCAATCCTCGATCTGCAAAGAATTAACATGTTAGGCGTAACGGAAAAAGGATAATGCCTACCTCTTCAGTGATGCTCTTTAGTCTGTCACGAATACTTTCCACGGCGTAGCTACCCAGAATCAATCGCAACGGAGGATAGCTGCAATGACCCAGTTGCCACACCAGCTCTGCGCTCTTCACTGCGCTCACCGGTTGTCTGTCGTTCAGCCACTGTACCATCCGTCGCGCGTGTTGCGCCGGGCTTGTCAGTCCCGCATAGGGCTCGCTTGGGTTCGGTTTCACGAAGAAATGACCGTAACGTTTCGGCTTCGGCGGACCTGTTCCTGGAACAGGCATTGAAGTATAGCTGGGTGGTAATATGTTGTCATCTGGCTCGTCCAATCGAACATGTCCAGGCTCGACCAGTGTTGCTTTGATGTTGAAGATATCGACTTCGTACAACATCGACTCTATGAGCCCTTCCACGGCGTACTTGGTCGCACAGTACGGGCCGAGGCCAGGCACGCCAAGGGCTCCAGCCGTGGATGAGAATATGAGGTATCGACCGGAGTTTTGTGAGCGAAAGTAGGGGAGGGAGAGTTGCAAGATGTGTAGGGTCCCGAGAAAGTTTGTGGTGAATTGATTGCGCAGGTCGTACTCGTCCTGGTCCTCGCATGCTGCTATGACGCCGTAGCCGGTGCTGTTCGCTATGACATCCACCTGGCCCCAGTACTCGATGCTCTTCCTGATGACCTGATCCACTGTCTCGCGCACTCTCACGTCGCATAGCAAACCCAAGCAATTTCTGTTCTTCCACTTATCCATCTGTTCAGGTGTGTTCTCTTCGGTCCATCCCACCGCGGTGCATTGGTCGCCGTGCGCTAGTATCGCTCGAACGAGGGATCGTCCCATGTGGCCGGTCGCTCCGAAGACCTGAGTAGATGTTAGCTATCGTGACCAAGGCAACATGCTTGATGACCTACTATCCATACTGCTCGCTTGGGCGGATTGTGCTCAGATGGTGGGTCGCAAGTTGCGGGAAGGATGAGATTGGGGTTGTGAGTTGCAGCGCCTGGCGAGAGGCTCTGACTTTGGGTATCGAAATCCATAAGGAGGTTGAAGACGCTACAATGGTATGCGATCTTGAACTGGTCCAGATGGTGGGGAGCTTGGCAACCAATCGGACTTGCAACTGCCGCTATCTCCGTCTGGTTCAGGTGAAGGGGCAACGAAGCCACGTCGCGCACTTGATATGTATACGCGAGTAATCCAGGGTATCTCTGTATCGCGTCGGAAGTGAGGCTTGGTAGGACTAGCACTCAAGGCATGATGAACCTCCTCTCGTCGATCAGAAAGCGGAGCCCCTCGATGACCAATTGGCTGGGAAAGGCCTGTTGGCGGTTCATGAAGTTGCTGACGAGAATGAAGAACATGATGAAGATGTCGAGGTGCATAGGCGACGTGAGGAAGAAGTGGTACGCGAGGAACAGGAAGGCCTGGGCGCGGTATCGGCTCTTGATGGATCGGATGACTCTGTTCGCCTTGATGGCAGCGGCGCGGTTGGTGGGGGTCCTGAAGGTGACGACCTTGGAGAGAAGGGGCATCCTAGGTAGAGTCGTGCCTCGTCGCGGGTCTGAGTCTGGGGAGACCTCGGGGCTGCGGAGATGGGCGTGGAGTGGTTAGGAGGCTTATCGATATGGCTAGGTCGGCATCCTTCCAAGATCCCGATGCACAATTACGTCTTCAGCCTCTGCTCGAAATCACCATCCACACCCAACATGCAATTATCAACGCGGTAGCAACTCTCCAGTCGCGACTATGGTCAAAGCAGTGCCCACGCCCGTGGCGCTGCCCGTTACACAGGGCGGCTCGTCATCGTACAGTTGCCCATCAAATGCAGAGACCCCGCTAACTTACTACAGACTCTCCTTCACACAAGGTTTCCTACTCGGCCAGCTCTCGATTGCGATTTTGATGTTCTGCTTCATAAAGTTCTTCATCTTCGGAGAGCCGCCGTCCGCCGACGACCGCGCATTGCATCTCAACTCGCTCCGCCGAGCTCGAACTTTAGCACACCAACAGTCGTATAAGCAACTTAGAACGCGCGCAAACTCGACGTCTCTCTCCTTACGGCATAAACCATCCAGAAGTATAATACGAAAGGGCGAGGAGAGCAGGGGAGGCCCAAGCATACAGACTATCCTCGCAAAGACGTATTACAACGTAAAGGGACACCAACCAGAGAGCTTAGATTGGTTCAATGTGCTCATTGCGCAAACAATCGCACAGCTGAGAGCCGATGCGCGACAGGACGATGCGATCCTTACCTCCCTCACCGACATCTTGAACACGGGCAGCAAGCCGGATTGGATAGGCGAGATCAGAGTGACGGAGATAGCATTGGGTGATGAGTTCCCCATATTCAGCAACTGCAGAGTCATGCCAGCAGAAGACGGATTCTGGTACGGGCCAGGCAATACGGATGAGAAGGAGAGACTGCAAGCGCGCATGGACGTTGATCTGAGCGATGTCATTACCATCGGCGTAGAGACGACACTGAACCTGAACTGGCCGAAACCCATGTCCGCAGTCTTGCCAGTCGCACTCGCTGTGAGCATTGTCCGATTCTCAGGAACCCTCGCCGTATCCTTCATACCCTCCTCCTCGCCTCCACCAACCACCGCGCCCATGCCATCGCCAACATCAAACACACACCGAGGTTCCTCGCCGAGCCGACCAGCATCCTCATCAGGTGCTCCACCACACCGTCCCACGACATTAGCCTTCACCTTCCTAGACGACTACCGTCTCGACCTCTCCGTGCGTTCCCTAGTCGGTTCGCGATCACGACTTCAAGACGTACCCAAAATCGCCCAGCTCATCGAATCCCGCGTCCACGCCTGGTTCGACGAACGAGCCGTAGAGCCCCGCTTCCAGCAAATCGTGCTCCCATCACTCTGGCCCCGCAAACACAACACACGCGGCGGCGCCACAGAGGATGCCGACGCAGCCGGCGAGAACGAAGAGGATGAGGACGACGAAATCGCCGTCATGGAAGGAAACGGCACAGCTCCTGGCTCAACATCCTTCATCCCCAGCCCCATCGCCGAAAACGCCACCCTAGAAGAGCGCATAGAAGCAGAAGGCCAGAAGATGCGAGAAGCGGAGATCAGAGCTGGGGTTAGGAAACCTAGTGCAACAGACTCTCGTAGCCAGAGTAGAAATACCCGGGAAGACGGCATGCGGTGGCGCGGCGAGCAGAGAGACCGGCCCAAGGGGTCGGGGAGACCGAAACTGCAGAGCCGGACTACGACGGGCATTGCGGGAGCCATACCAGGCGCTTTACCGAGGTGAAGTGGACAGATATTTGTACGATGACATGACTGAATGTATATAATACCAGTAGCGGCGGCGGCGTTGTGGAGCGAAAGCATACGTCTTGCTTTCGGCGCATCAGGTCCATATTTACTCGACGGAGTACGAACCCCAATGTACCTAGAGCAAGACGTATGCCCAGGTACATTGACAGTATCGTGAGCTTCGTATCTAGCGAAGCTCACGATACTGTCAATGTACCTGGTTCACAAGAAGCATCACAACACAATCGCACAGCTGCTCATAATGACAACACAAGTTGCATCCTTTGAACTTCTCCTCCCACACACCCCTCAGTGCAGACCGAGTATCTGTATCCCAGCCACCCAGGCTATCATCCCTTTGTGTAAAAGTGCCATTGTCTACCACTCATGAGCAACACCCGAGATAACTGTAGACATCCGATGCCCGTACGTATCCTAATACAACGCTAACCTAACGAGAGACAACACCTTAATCTCAGCTCCCATCTTCAGGTACAGGAGGTAAAGAAATGGAAAACGCCATGGGTATCTGTCTTTCTCTAGCTATGACAGGGACAGGACAGGAAAAGAAAAACGTTGGTAGAATTGAATCAAAGACTGCCGCACATGGGATTTGGGAGATGATGTGTAGCATGCATGAGAAAACGGCTTGATTAAGTGCGCAGGCAGATCTATTGCCAGCTGGCGGTAGGAGCAGGTGTGGGATGTTGCGGTGGTGGAGGTGCTTCATAAGAATTGGTGGGGACGTCGACGGGAGTCTGGTGTTTTGGTGCCTCTTCGGGGGCGCTGTACGGCGGCGTTGGGGCGGAGAAGAAGCCGTCGAGTTTTGGGAGTGCTTCTGGGTTGCCTGTAGGAAGCTGTTGGTTTGCGACGGGGATGACGGGTTGGGAGGATCCGTTCATTGTGGAACTGGGCTCGGATGTAGGGGCTGAGGTTTCTGGGGCAGGCGCAATCTCGGGCTGTTTTGGCGCGCCTGTGTCGCCTACTGTCGCAGCAGTAGCATCGTGGTCGACGCCATTTGCCATGGGTGCGTCTTGATCGGGAGCAGCAGAGCCATCCGTTGCGCCTTTCCGGTAACGCAGGGTGACCATGAGGCTGTGTGGTTCCTCCTCTTCATCTGACGAATCCTCCGCCGCATCGTCTTCATCATCGTCGAGCTCCATCTGATCTGGCTCTTCCTCCTCGTCATCTCCACCATCCCAAGATGTCGCATCCTCCTCATCTTCGGAATCTACTGTCCGGTTCAGTGAGCGGCCGTTGGTAGTGCCCCTGTTGGCGGCGCGGGTTGATCGGCCAGGGCCAGGCTCCTCCGACACATCAGACCGTACGTAATCGCCAGTTGCAGGCGATGGGTGATCGGTGACTTGTCCACTGAGTAGCGTCTCACCGTATAAACCTGTTGCTCGAGACCGGACCTGTCGACCGCTAGCGGTGACAGTAGGACCAGAAGGCGCAGCGGGTGTGTCGCGGCCTGATTGCCGCCCTGACCGACGTACAGATGTATTGTCCGAGTCGAAATCATCCTCTTCATCGAACGTATATCGTTGGCGCTTGCCACGGGTGCGGCCTTCGTATAGGGAGAAACCGAGTTCTGGGCGCGTGAAAGCGTCTTTGCGCTGACGGGTGTACTCTCGTCGCTTGCGTTTCTGCATGGTGATTAGCACGAGACTATGTATAGAAGGAACGAGGACATACGTTTTCTGAAGCCTCGAATCGTGGCACAGCATTAAGCATGCGCTCGCCGAGTGCCTTGGCCTCTTTGTGTCCGTCTACTTCCTCCAGCTTCGTCGCAAGCGCTCTTAGCTCATCGATTGAGCCAGCGACACTGATCCACTGTACATTCTTGAGCTTGGGATCGCTCTCGCGGTAGATGCGAAAGTGGGTGTCATTCTGCCCTTCGACCAGGTAGTACCGGCGCTTGTCACCATCGCGACCCCACGCTTGTACCGACAACGGGATGTTTGTATCTTGTTTGTCCTTGGTAGTGCGAGACTTGTACGCGGTATTGATCATGACCTTGACTTGCTCGTTCTGGTTGAGGCTCCAGAGGCAGAGGGAGTGGAGGAGGGTGATCTGGGCGATAGTTAGCATCTGGCGAGATCAGGATAGACGGCGACTTACCCGTTCTTCTGCTGTCATTGTGTTGAAGTTGCGACCGCCACTGAGGGGGTTGCCAGTCCATTTGGTGGGCCATTGTGATTTTTGGGTTTGGATGGCCTCTTCGAGGGCGCGACCGTAGTGACCCTTCCTGTAGAACACACAACTTGTCAGCGTGTGCACTATGCCATCCGCTCTGTAAGGCCTACGCGACCGGGAAATATGTATTTGTGAAGGGCAAAGGGGTCAGACTGACTCGACAGGTTTCTTGCGATTGAGGACGAGCCCGAGCAGGGCGCATAGTAAGCCTTCGACATCGGCGGACGGCGTCTCCTCCGCGACACCCTGTTCGATGTCTTGGGGCCCTACGTGAGGCGAACCGCGAGGAAAGGCGTCGTTGAAGCGCGACCGAAACATTACAATGAACTATAGCGCATGGCATTAGCGATGTCTGGGTGGAGGATTATGCGCGATTGCGGTGCAATGCGGCGCGTCACGACGCGACGGACGCGTCCAACACGTACAGCAATGTCTGGATTATCCTCTGGTACGGCCTCATGCGGTGGAGAAGGCGCTCGTTTTCTTGGAGGCGGCGAGGGCGAGCGATGCTTGAAAAAGGTCAAGATTGTGCCATTCTTCTTCTTCTTTTTCTGAGGTACGGCCTTTGCAGCGCTTGCTTCTGAAACCTCGACCTCCATCTCGTCGTCGGTCGGGGGCGCAGAGGACAGCGAAGAATCGGAATCGGCCATGGTTGGTGGTGTTTGGGGGTTGATGTTGGTGGTGGTAGTTGCGGCTGCAGTTGCGGGACGAGGAGAGGAACTACGAACAGAGCACGGTTAGGCAGGCATGAGGTAATGCTACTTTCGCTAGCCCAAAGATCGACTGATTGGGTCCCTGTAATGCAGGACAATGAACACGTTCACCAGGGCATCTTTGTTCGACAAAACAAGCGTCAAAAGGTAGCAATATCAGAGCAGCGATGGGATCAGGGCAACTTCTGTAGTCTGGGAGTTTGATTCGGCTATATACGTAATGTTCGCGAAGTGCTACAGCGATATCTCAATTCGCATGTAGTAAGACCACGGCCAAGTGCAGCTATCAAGCGTGCCCTCTCTTCACCACAGCTTCCACCAGAACCTCCTGCTCACAAGTCTGTTCGTATGGCTGCAACTCGCCCAACTCGTAATGCTGTTGTCAAGAAAGTCAGCGGCTTGTAAGTATCCTACCATTGTTTCTTGATGTTTTGTTCCGGGCCCAGAAGGGGGTCGAGGGCACTTGTTTAAGACGTGATTCGAGACGCGCAATCACAATTTGGGGTGCAAGTGTACTGGCGAGACTGAGTTGTGTCAGGCTTTGGTTCCTTGCATGCGCTCCACTGCGCAATGGCGGTTTTCAGGTTTAGAGCGGTTGTGCTGATCTGGCCGGTACATAGGTCCTTTTGAAAGCGCTGATCGGGCGGGGGAACGCTCGACAAGTGGACATGCCAAAGTCGCGACCAAAGCGCGAGACCTTCCACAGATGCCCTGGTGTTGCTCATAAGCATAGGTGAGCCTTTGCCCATTCGGTCCTCCTCTTGACTTGTATAGGCGTTACAACAGTTGTCAAGTAAATGAGAGGAAGGCGACGCCGGGTAATATACTCTCAAAAACACTGAGAGTTTCTTCGAGTTCGCAAGCGTTGCGTGTTGGCTGCAGACGCGCCCATGTGCGTCGCGCTTTTAGTCGCAACTTCGGGCTAGTCCGCCCAGTCCTGAAGTTGCAGCGCATGTCTGTCCACTCCTTCTGGTAAACGTCCTCACAGCGAATTCTCTAGCAATGGAACCATTGCGCGATGATGTAGCGCGATCAGAAATGAATCAAATTCGTTCGTATGATTTGAGACGGACGGGACTTTTTGGAATAAAGAAACCTAGTTTGGGCAAATAATGCGCCGAAAGAAGCCGACTGCGCGGAATACAAGCGAATGCGAGAGTGCAGTTGAAGTGGTGTTGCCTTGACTGGGGAGAGACGCGAACTTGAGGTTGAAGTTCCAGCTGGCCGAAGAGATGGCGCTTGTCAAGTCACGTGCACGCGGTTTGTATGGCGGGGCGAGCTGGAAGGTAATCGTCTCGAGGCAGATTAGGACATGTTGTCTCGATTTTCTGTCAGTCTTTATTGATGTCGTGAGCAATGAATACAATACGACAAAAGAGTTTGGACATGAACAGTCGCTGGAACCGTGATGAGCGGATGCTCGCAGTGCGATGGTGTGAGATGGCGAGCACATTGACTGCATATGCCAAGGTAGCTTACAATGTAGAAGGATTGCTTTCCAGCTATATCGCGTTGCTTTCAGAGGCCAGGTGATATATCGCGCTTGCCGAAAAGACCGCTTGACCTGATAAAGGAAGGAGATTGGGTTCGCGTCCTTTATGGCTGCATATTGAAGAGTCTGGACGGCGCACTAGACAGCCAACATGCGCTTCTGTAGGTCTATCGAATCCCCATTGCTGCGCGATAGGAGAGGATCCGAACAGGAGCCTACTGCTGATTCCGGTGATTTGCTCGGTGAAGTCGGGCAGAGAATAGAGAGTAGCTTAGAAAGACGCTTCCTTGGTACGGTGGCGAGGGTGAAACTCAGCATCCATGAGACGGAGCCCGATTGCGCAAACCATGACGGAGGCTGCCAGGAATAGAACCGTGGTCAATGTATGGCAAGACGGGTGAAACGGGGGGCATGCCTACAAAAGGCGATAGTGGAGGGGTTGGCTGTGGTGAGTAGATGGGGCGCCCGGCGGAAGCATTAGGGCGGCAAACCCCGGAATAGCGACATGTCGTCCCGCTGTGTCAGGACTGGCTGGGCCGCGTCTTTGGGCGACGCTGATCGCCGTTGGAGGGCACCTAGACGGTCTGTGGTTTC